AATCACATCTACCACTTACTGAGTACTTGTATGTTTAAGGTAGGTGTGAAGGATTGTAAAAAATTATCTCCAGGAATCATGTGATTTCACTCATATGTGGAATTTGAGAGACAGAGTAAATGAGCAAAGGGCAAAAAAGAAAAGAGAGAGAGAGACGAATTAAGAAACAGGCTCTTGACTATAGAGAACAAACTGATAGTTACCAGAAGTGAGGTGGGTATGGGGATGGGTTAAATGGGTGATGGAGGTTAAGGAGTTTATTTGTTGTGATGAGCACTGGGTGTTGTATGGGTGTTGAATCACTATATTGTACACCTGAAACTACTATTACGCTGTATGTTAACTAACTGGAATTTAAATAAAAACTTAAAAAAAAATCTCATTTAATCCTTAAAATGTAAGATTGAGTTAATATGGTCACTAAACAGTAATATAAATGTATATATAGAAAGAAAACTAGAAAATATAAGAGCTAACATTAATTGGATGACTGTGCTATACGAGCTGTGTTAGGTGATCTCTATTTTTTTTCTTTCTCAAAATAACCCTATAGATAGATATCTTTCCATTTTACAGGAAGCTAAGGCATATAAATAACTTCTCCCATATGGCAGAGCAATGGAGTGGCTGAGCTGGCATCTGAGCCTGTGTCTACCTGATCCTTCATATGATAATAAAGTAAAAGCACAGTGTGGTTTACTATAATTGATTCATTTCTCTACATTGGTTACTGTTATGAAACTCTTAACCCTTAGGAATGGCTAGTGTATTTTCTTTGTCCTACTTATGCTTCTTTGTTCTTGTTTTCTAGTTTCTGAGTCAAATGCTGATCTACTTTGCCCGTATTTGGAGGTCATTTTCTGTATCGTTGTTCAGATTTTTGCTTATTACCTTTCTAGGCTTTGACATTTAAAGAGTTACATGCCTGATCTAAGGGGTTACAGAAGCATTGGAATTGTGACTAATTAACATTCATCCAATAAAGCTATTTGAATATATCATATGTTATACTTGTGAATCTCTAGACCAAAAGGGGAATTATTTTGGTAAATCTTCTGAGATCTATTAAATTATGCAACTTTATCCCTAATTTGACTTTTTTCTAATGAATAAAGTTACAAATACATTATACTGGAATGAAACACTGAAAATAGGTCTTAGTTCACAAGTGTAGTGATTAGTACTGTTCTGGAAAAACTATCTTAGCTCTAGAGAAACAAATTATACAAATGTATGTAGGTACATCTGTTGAGAAACTTGGTCCCCTTCTTCAGGTAAATAAATAACTCATTCAAATGGAAAATCTTTTTTTGTGTGTGATTTGAATTCAATATGCATTTAAAGAATACATAGATCTGTGGCAAGTGCCGTGAATATTTGTACATGAATATACTATTGCTTAGGCCACATATGGTAAAAGACTGATATGAATCAAAAACAGGAAGATTTTTTGATTATAGGTAGTATATTGTGTATATATTACAAATATATACTCAAATGTGTGTACACCAATATATCATTGTCTATTGGATCTGGAAAATTGATTTATTTCTTTAATAATGTATTGATAAATTGGAGTGTAAGTTGTTTATAAATTAATCTCACAATAAAACCATTTGGAAGGACATAAAAATTATACTTCAGAGCAATTTAAAATAGATGAAACAGAAAAAATTTGTTTAAGTCAGAAGATAATGACAGTATTTTTGCATTGAGTGTTCATTTTCTACTAGCAACTTTGACATACATGGAACTAAGCAGTACAAATTACCATCTAAGTTTCACTTCCATATATGCATATATAAATAAATATTGTACTTTATTAATTCATTACTTTATAAACCTTTATTTATATAAAATTATATATAGATTATGTACATTTCGGTTAATTTGGGTATTATTTTTTTTTAGAGAGAGAGAGAACGCATGCGAGCGGGTGGGAGGGTTTGTCGGGCAGGGTGGGGAGGAGAGGCAGAGGGAGAAAGAATCTTAAGCATGTTCCACATTCAGAGGAGAGCAGGTGTGGGGCTCGATTTCTCAATCCTGAGATCATGACCTGAGCAAAATCAAGAGTCAGATGCTTGACCGACTGAGCCACCCAAGTGCCCCAATTTGGATGTTATTTCTAACTATTCATGTGAATATATATATATATATATAAAATACATATATAATTTACTTTAATTTGGAGTCTTTATAGGCATGTGCACTTGTAATTTATGGACTGTCCTTTCAAAGAACAGATTGGCCAATGATATAATATGTAACACTCTATTTTATATAAATGAGTTTTGATCTAATCAGTTTTAATTTATATAAATGTTTTGATAATTATATATTTCTTAATTAATTAATAAAACATTTTTTTATTGGAGTATAGTTGACACACAATGTTACCTTAGTTTTAGGTGTACAACATAGTGATTCAACATCTCTGTATGTTCACCATAAGTGTATCTACCATCTATTACCACACAGTGCTATTACAATTGATGATTATATTTTTAAATATAAATATGTGAATTAAAACAATTGTTTTAATTTTAATTGAAGCATTGTTTTTGGAATTAATTTATTTGGAAATGTTAAGCGTGTATAGAACATTATCATGGTATATTTGGTTATTATTATTATTACTTTTTTTGTTTTATATAATCAGTACCTAAGGTATATCTTGGACAATAAATCTGTAATATACAACTGCTGACTATGTAGAAGGAGTGAGTGGAACCCATATTAAAAGTATTATTAAGATAAAGTATTTAAAGGGCGCCTGGGTGGCTCAGTCGGTTAAGCGGCTGCCTTTGGCTCAGGTCATGATCCCAGGGTTCTGGGATCAAGCCCCATGTCGGGCTTCCAGCTCAGCAGAGAGCCTGCTTCTCCCTCTCCCTCTGCCTACTTGTGCTCTTTCTGTCAAATAAATAAATAAATAAATAAATAAATAAATAAATAAAATCAACCTTTAACAAAAAGAAAAAGTAAAGTATTTAAAAAGTATTTAATCTATGTGAATTTCTCAGGTTTACCTCAGCAATATTACTATTATTATTACTAATCAAAATTATAATTGAATGATTACTATCTTTAGAAGATGTACTAGGATCTTTAGATTCATTTTTGATATTCATGTTTGTATGATGCATTATTATTACATATATAGACTGTATATATGTATTGTAAAGTTTGTATTGATATAAGTATCATTATATATATGACTGTGTTATATGTATAGATTAGGATATTGAAACTAAGGCAAATTAAGTGACTTGACCAAAATAATTTTACAAATAAGTGTTTGACAAGTGATCAGATTTGAATTTCCAGGCATTGACAAACAATACATGTTTCCATCAAACACAAATCATGTGATTATGTGATCATATTATTGTTCTTAGAATGAATCTTAAGAGGACTCAGAATACATTGGAAGGACTAATCAAAAACATTTGGAGGAGCTGCATTTGGGATTTGATGGATTCTTTCTGAACATATACCAGCAGATACTAGCAAATACACAAAATCATGAAGATTATATAAACTTAGATAAAATTAAGTGAGATTTTTAAACTTTTTCTGTTCTTAATGTTCTTATTTCCTTGCATTGTCAACTTTTCATATTTTCTTTTTTTTTTTAAAGAGTTTTCAAGCAAGGCTGAGTTTGATGTGAAATTACTATGGTATGTAGGTTTCACTGTATGTATTTTTTAATATAGGAAATACAGAAGAGAAAAAAGAAAAGGTGAAAATTTAGAAAAGAAAAGAAAAAAACTTAGAAAATAAAAATAAGAATTGATGAAATTGGAATCAGAGAGGGAATTGATCATTATGAACTTAGGGCCTTTGAAAACTTCTTTTCTTTGATTTGTTTGATCAAAACTACTTGTCAAAGGAAAAAAAATCATCTAATAGAGTCCCATCTGTTTAAAATCCATGAAAAATGCAAAAACACTTTGTAATTCTATAAAGAGGTCCTTGGTTCTTTGAGTTTTAAATATGAGAATGGGAAGAGAATAGATCTGGGATAGTCTGTGAAAATGAAGGCTGTAGGGATTACCAAGGGGGTACAGTAGGGATATCAAAGTACCATTCTGTGATAAGAGTTATGACTAGTATAAAAGACACACAAAATGAAAGGAATGATAAGACTCAACAGATTTGAGTCTCCAGTGAATCCAGAGTTTATAAAACTGGGGACAGGAAAATATATTCGACTGAAAAGTTATGGTGAAGTAAGTTTATTATGCAGATACTATTTATTTATTTAGTGCAGATACAATTTAATAGGAACTGTTGCAAGATAAATGTGTTAACTTTTGTAGTACAACTAAAGCTTTCAATTCTGGTTATTAATGTTTTCTAGATGAAGGTGGTCAATAAATGGTTACCATTCTAGTAGTCAGTTGCAGTCCTTTCGTGTATTATTTATTATAGTTATGACACCAGGAAAATATTTTTAAAGGCTTGGGAGATAACATAGAATCCAAAGATACATTAATTAGGACTCTAAACCCTAGTCATTGTAATGAGCCTTAAGTACTGTGAAGCAGCAGAAAATAACTGAAACATACACCATACTCCAGTAGAATATGGTTACATATAAGCAGGGGTGAGTTAATTGATAGATAATTAGAAGAGGTGTTTTACCCTATGTATGTAGCCATGGAGAGCAATATAAATATCCTGTTGGTACTGCTACAAATCGGGTCTCTAATACCTTATGTAAACATTTAGTAGGCAGAAAAAGGGCTCTGCACTAGGGATGACTAATGAATTCTTCTTTCATTTAATCTGGACTTGTGTGCTGTTGATTCTGCTGTATCTGCCCTGTGGAATTTCCTTCTTCATTCTTACTGCTTCCTATAGGTCGCAAAACCCCCTTCATAAATTCCACAGGACTAGGACTAAGATATAGCTTTTCCTGGTCTATATTTAACTCTTGGAAATGCTGTGCACTGTATTAGAACTGTGAATATGAAGATTCCGTAGTACTCAGCCTATCAAGGACTACCTTGAGGGTTCTGCTTTATGATGCCTCAAGGCAAAGAAGGATCATTTGCCTCTCAAGTAGCCTTTGATCAGCTGCCTTTGAGCCATCAAGATGCCTTTGTCTTCTCTTCCAGCAACTATTTTGTCTCACATGATAGCTGTAAACAATGTGCCTCCTCCTCCACTTCGCAGTTTACCAAGTGAGTGAAGACTATGTCAAGGGTTTGTCATTGTTTCCAGTGGTATCTATCCCAGATATAAGAAACAGGGCACTTGTGAGTTGGTAGAGAGACAGGAGGAGTCATTTTGATAGAGTAGTGAGATGGAAAAAACATAGATATGCAAATCCTGCTTTGTCCTCCTGAAGTCATTTCAATTCTCTAGATGTCAAATATTTTACTTTGTAAAGTGCGGATCTTTATGACCTTTCAGAACTTCAAATAAGAAATACTTTTAGGGGTGCCTGGGTGGCTCAGTCGGTTAAGCGGCTGCCTTAGGCTCAGGTCACGATCCCAGGGTCCTGGGATACAGCCCAGCATCAAGCTCCTTCCCTCTCCCTCTGCCTGCCTGTGTGCCTACTTATGATCTCTCTCTGTCAAATAAATAAATAAAATTGTAAAAAAAAAAAAAGAAAAAAGAAATACTTTTAAAGAGAGAAGAAAACAAAGGCTTAGAAAGATCACATGGCTCATGAGTGATCAAACCCCTTGTTTCTGGCAGGTCTTCTAGTGTCTACCTAGTCAGTCTTACTGCCCTGCCCTTTGTGAGCTAATTAATACTTAATTTTCACTAGGAGAATTCTCATTAAAATTTTCCAGGAAAAAAAAAAAGGAGATAATGCCTGTTACTCTGCCTCTGAAATTTATTCCTATTCCATTTTATTTTTATTTTGTAGTCTTTGATTTATAATATCATAGGAATTATAGAGTTAAATATTTGAAGTTTATACAGTTGACAGTATTTTCTTATTTTATATAGTCAGTCTATACCTGGAACATTTTTCTCAAGACTTCTTGTCATAACTATCAAATTCATAGATCTATTATTTGATCACCAATATACTAATAATATGGAGTAGTCCAGTGATAGTTGAGATTAAAAAAAAATCTTCTGGATATCTTGATTTTTTTTTCAACTTCAATAAAGCATTTACTCTATTATTTAAATATTTATTGGGTAATTTGTTGTATGATTTGAAAAAGCTAACCTGTCTATTCTTTTATCTTCCTGTGATTGCTTACTCTTTAAAATCATTTTTTTAAAATTAATGATCATAGTCTCCAGGGGAAACGGTGCCAGAGGCAGCAGTTGACACCTTTTTGAAGGGGTTTACTTATGTCTTGAATAGTGTTAGACAAAGTCCTTATGTTAAATCCAACTAATTCTTATATATGCTACTTTTATATGTTTTTATTATAATTGTGAAAAAAATTCTTGAATGTGGTCAAAGTTTTGTATTTCTACATGAATTGAAATAAATATTAAATGTAATTTTGCCAAACCCACAGCTTCTATTGGACAGGTTTTATTTGTGCAAAAGAAATAAAGGTCATCCTAAGTCAATTTCTTTAGCAGCCTAGGAAGCACAATAGCTGGGAGTTAAAAGATCAAATTAATTTAGAATCAATGGGATGAGATATGTGCTACCCTCTGTAGTGTCTTCCAAGGACACTTAAGTTGTGTGAAGTGATAAAAAGATGAAAAATCAGCAGCAATTTAGATCTCAGAACAGAATAGAGCATAATGGAAAGCAGTGGAGCTCCCAGTTTTCCCTTTAGATGTTCCTACTTGATGTTCTATGTCTACGACTTCTCTTTGGAGACGTGTCCTGCTTGCTTAGTAACTGTGTCTTTGTGCTAACTCCAGCAAATTGACAATTTCCCTTAGCAAACTCTGTCTTTGCTGAAACAATGATCTCATGAAAGCACTCGTGAGGATGCTTTCAATCGATAATATGACTAAATCTGAATTATAAAGAAGATATAAATGGGAATGATTCAAATGCAATGGGCATAAATAGGAAGGTTCAGTTAAGGACCTTAAAAAAATCCAGCTAAAATTGTCTCCATTTGCAGATGACATGATTTTATATATAGAAAGCCCTAAAGACTCAACCAAAAAACTGTTAGAACTAATCAAGGAATTCAGTAAAGTTGCAGGATACAAAATTAACATATAAAAATCAGTGTTTCTGTACACTAACAATGAATTTTCTGAAAAAGAAAAATCAATCTCATTTAAATAGCATCAAAAACAATAAAATACTTAGGAATAAATTTAACCAAGGTGGCCAAAGATCACTACTGTGAAAATCATAAAATATTGATAAAAGAAATCAAAGAAGACATAAATAAATGGAAAGTTATCTTGTGTTTATGGATTGGAAGAATTAGTATTGTTAAAATTTCAGAATTTGTCTGTGGATTTGATGTAATCCCTATCAAGATTCAAATGGCATCAGTTACAGAAATAGAAAAAACATTCCTAAAATTTGTATGGAAACACAAGACTCCAAATAGCCAAAAATATTTTGAGAAAGAAGAACAAAGCAGGAGGCATCACATTTCCTGATTTTAAACTATCCTGCAATGCTATAGTTATTAAGACAGTATGGTGCTGGTATAAAAACAAATAGACCAATGGAACAGAATTGAGAGTCCAGAAGTAAACCTAAGCACATACAGTCAACTAGAATTTGACAATGGAGCCAAGAATACTCAATTGAGAAGATAGTCTCTTCAATAAATCATGGTGGGAAAACCTGGATATTCAAAAATAAAAGAATGAAACTTGACCACTATCTAACATTCACAAATATTAACTCGAAATGGATTAAAGACTGAAATATAAGACCTGAAACCATGAAGCTCCTAGAAGAAAACATAGAAGAACTCTTTGACATGGGTCTTGGAAATGCTTTTTTAGATATGACACCTAAAGTACAAGCAATAAAATAAAATTAAAGAAAGTGAGACTATGTCAAACTAAAAAGGTTCTGCACTGCAGAAGAAACCACCAACAAAGTGAAAAGAAAACCTGCACAATGGTAAAAGATATTTGCAAACTATATATCTGATAAGGGATTAATATTTAAAATATATAAAGAACTCATACAACTCAATAGCAAAAAAAAATAATTCAATTAAAAAATGGGCAAAGGACCTAAATAGACATTTCTCTAAGGAAAATATACAAAAGGCCAACAGATACTTGGAAAGATGCTCATAATTACTAGTCATTAGAGAAATGCAAATTGAAATTACAATATCACCTTTTAGAATGGTCATTATCAAAAAGACAAGAGCTAACAAATGCTGGTGAGGATGTGGAGAAAAGGGAACCCCTATGACCTGTAAATTGGTATAGCTACTATGGAAAACAGTATGGAGTATAAAACTACCATATGATCCAGCAATTTCACTTTTGGGAATTTCCAAAGGTAATGAAAACATTAACTCAAAAAGTTGAACTCTTATGTTCATAGAAACATTATTTATAATAGGCAATACATGAAAACAACCTAAGTGTTCACTGGTGCATGAATGGATAAAGAAGTTGTGGTACATATACACAATTGAATATTATTCAGCCATAAAAAACAAGGAAATCCATTTGCAACAATATGGATGGACCCTGAAGGCATTATGCTAAATAAGTCAGACAGACAAAGACAAATATTGTATGATCTCACTTACATGTAGAATCTTAAAAAAAAAGCCCATAGAAAAAGAAATCAGATTTGTGGTTACCAGAGGTGGGGGGTGGGGTGAGGGTAGGAGAAATTGGAGGAAGGTAATCAAAAGGTACAAACTTACAGTTGTCAGATAAATAAGCGATGTAATGTATAACATGATGGCTATGGTTAACACTGCTGTATGATATATAGAGAGGTTGTTAACAGAGTAGATCATAAGTGTTCTCATTACAAGGATAATTTTTTTTTTCATTTTCTTTTTATAGCTATGTGAGATGATGGATGTTAACCATACCTATTATAATCATTTCACAGTATATGCAAATCAAACATTTATGCTATACACCTTAAACTTATACAGTGATATATGTCAATTGTTTCTCATTAAACTGGAAAAAAAATCCAGCCATTATATATGTCCTTGCTTACTTTGGGTGAGGTTAGTTAGGTTACCTTTAGTGAATCATGTCTACCTTATCTATAAATTTTATATGTGAATATTTTAGGGCTTTTTATAGGCAGTGTGTAAGCATTTTTCATGTTATGTTATTTCATTTATTTCTCACAAGATACTTATGGGGTCTGTAGTAAGTGAAACAATGGCCCCCAATGATGTGCATATCCTAATCCCCAGAACCTGTGAATAAACTATGCTACATGGCCAGAGAAATTAATGTTGCAGATGGAATTAAGGCTGCTAATCAGCTGACCTTGAAATGGGAGAAGATTCTGGATTTTGCAGTGAGCCCACTGTAATCAAAGGATCCTTCGTAAGTGGGAGAGGGAGGCACGTGACTTAGAGTCAGTGAGATTCAGGGTGAGAAAGGCTCAACTGGCCATTGCTGGCTTTGAAGATGGAAGGGGGGACATGAGCCCCAGAATTGGGGCAACCTCTGCAAGCTGGACAAGGCAAAGAAATAGAGTCTCCCCTGGAGCTTCCAGAAGGAATGCAGCCCTGCTGACAACTTGATTTTAGCATAATGAGATCTGTTTCAGACTTCTGACTTTCAGAGCTGTAAGATCATAAATTTGTGTTTTAAGCTGATACATTTGTAGTAATTTGTTTCAGTGATACAAAACTAATACATGGTCCATTTTGCAGTGAAGGATAGTGAGGCTTGGGTTTCATACCAAGGTTCACACAGTTGTCAAGTGGTAGAGAATTTTTCAAAGTATCATTCATATGAATTTTCTCATAAAAACAACAGTCAGTAGCAGTATAGTTTCCTCCTACCCACCACCCTGATATCCCCTCCACATTTTGCAAGTTGAATGATATATATGTATTTGTTGCATTTTGCCGTTTCGACCATTTAGACACTCTTAATTTAAGGGAGAGAACATATCATGCATCTTTAAACACCCCTCCAGTACTGTCTTACTAATTTTGAAATCCAGATTCACAGGCACTCCAGGTAGTTATGCTTGAATCCCTTATACATTTTTTTCTTTAAAACTTTCCAGTCTTCTCCTCCTATAGTCTTTTTGACTTGTGTCTCAGGATTT